CTGGCCTAGGGATTTTTAGCGGGGTTTTTTAAGGGTATTTTAAGGATAATTTTAATGATCGGCCTTCTTAAATATTTCCTTTTAATTCGGTTTTTAATATAGATATCATTGTATTTGTATTGTGGTTTTTATGAGGCTGTTAGCCGCCCTGAGTCCCATGAGGAGAAGGGCGGGGTACAAATTAAATTAATAATAATAAAAAAAATAATAATAAAAAAAGACTTTCAGATAGTCCTAAAGCAACTTGATGGTGCCTTAATAAGAAATATAGTCTATTAGTATGCAACTGTGGCATAAAATGTTGGAGAACTCAGGAAATAGTTCATACCATTAAAAACAAAACCCAATAATATATTTTGAGGGGTTCCTCTATGAGTTCAGCTACTGCCATTGCTTTTCAAGTTCAACACCTCAGGTTTTAAAAATATTTCACTACTTCTAGTTGGAAGAAACAGCTTTATTGTACAACAAGAAGGGTTGTTGCTATTGTTGTTGCTGCTGCTGTTTTTGAATTTCAAACCTTCCAAAGTCCAACAAGGCAAATGCAGAAGCTGAAACTTCAGCTGTGAGAAAGTGTTGGCCTGGACATTAATTACACTATTTGGCCTCACAAGTAGCCTTTTCAGCACAAAGAGATTAGAGAACAAATATGTGACATACTGTACCTTCTTCATTTGTTCTCGGTTTATGGTAGATAAAACGCTAGTGATAATACGAGGAGAAAGACCACGGAAAAGACCCATTTTCCCATCCACTTCCACAATATGCCTGGCTAGAGATAATAAATTACACTGAAGTTATTTCATCATGATTCTGCAAAATCCCTAACATTCAGATGACTGGATATCTATATATAATAATGCATGCTAGGATTTAAACTATTCACTGACACTAAGATGGTAAAAAGTATGAGAAAACCTTGCTTTTTCAACTATTATTTCAACTGTGATTTTAAGAATTACATTGGATTTTATAGTGTTAGGTCACAGTATGAAGATTCCTTTAACTCGTGCTTAGCTATGTGGTCTCCTTCCACCCAAAAGGATTAGATTATTATCTGCAAAAAATTTGAAAGGAATTTTATAGAGTTTAAGGTACTAAAAACTTCAGATGGTTGGAGAAAGAAGAAAAATGCCCTAATATGTTATAATGCTGCAATTGCTTACTATTATGCTTGCAAAACTAAAATTTAGCTAACATGAAAGTAAATTTTGTCCCCTAAATATGCCTTTTTTATGTTTATAAGAGAAACTGTTTCATTAAAACAAGTCTTCAAAATTATTATAAAATAGTATTATTTAAGAGTTCAATCATGTAATTATTTGACTTGGTTACATTATTCTCATTAGACCTACAGACAAATCTACTGTATGTATTTATTAGGATATGCTCACCATATGTAAAAAATCCCGGGAAGTAAAATACTTTTCTCCCCAGTAAATTTCTCCCAATAGTTGGAGGTAGGGGCTCATGTCCAACCTAAAAAAAAATGGAAAAAGTAACACCAGTTTCTTACAAGTATCTCCACCCAGTGAACTTTATCCATAGCTTTATAGCTCAGATAGGGGCCACTCCTTGTTACTCTCAACCCCTACTCTATTCACTTGTTTTTTAATTTCAAATCAATTCCTAGTGATTGCGTGGACTAGTCCCTGTAGTTTTCTTGCAAGATTTTCAGAAGTGGTTTACCATGGCTATCTTCCCAGGGTTGAGAGAGTGATTGGCCCAAAGTCATCCGGTTAGATTCATGTCTAAGGCAGGGATAGAACTCATGGTTTCCCAATTTCTAGCCTGGTGTGCATGCATGTATGCACACACACACACTTTATTTATAGGCCCAAAGTACTGGTAATTCTTTTGTGGTTTTTTTTTCTTTTTGCTAAGTGATATACTCAAGCCCAGACAATTTGGAAAAAAGAACACCAGACACATTATAATTCTATCTTTTGCATTGAATTAAATATTTCTGAACCAAAACACATTAATAAATATGCTTGAGAAGAACCACCAGTAGAAAAGCATCTTCTCTACCGTTCCAAAGGCAGGGAGGGATGCCTATTGCTATTATCTCATTGTTATTTGAAGCACTTAATCAAAAACAAAAGGATCACACTGCTACAGTAAATCTCAGGGCTCAAGGTAAAAGTGGCACTAAAACACCAGAAGAAAGCCATGGCAAACTACTTCGTATCATTCACCCACCCACACCAAATTACAATAACAGATCTGTTAGGATCTGTGAACTCCTCTTTTAATCCTCCCAAGATTAATCCTCCCCCAAAGTCCACCCAACTTAAAGCTGCCAAATTTTTTTTTTAAGACTTTTTGGAAGCAACTAGTCTAAGGAGCCAAATTCCTTTATGGTACCTGTGAAAGCACCAAAGAGGAACTGTAGGGAAATCGGCACCTCTTTCACAAAGCCAGCCCTTCATAACAAATCACCCACAGACCCCAGGAACAAGGAGTTAAGCATCCCCCAATAACTGTCTTCGTGGGGCGTCTCGCAGCTCAGCGGTCGCCCCTGAACTATTAGGGCTGCTACTCCGCTCCACAGGTTCCCACACACCTAACAAGCCATCTTCTGCCCTTCGAAACCTGCATTGGAGGATTGCCCCCAAACCGCACCTGCACCAGAAGCTTCACGTAGAGCAGCGGGTGGCTGAGCACCGTGAAACCAGCGCTCAGTGCCACGAAAAGAGCGTCCGCGCCTTCAGCCGGACCGGGTCCCATTCTCGGTCCGGCGGGAGTAATCCCAGGATTTACAGGGATGTCAGCCATTCCCCCCGCCCGCATCCAACCAGGAAGTGCTCTTCTGCGGTCACGTGTCCAGACGCTTTTGCGTCATCACATCTCCCAAAGCAAACGCCCTATCGCGTGGAGGAACTGGCTTGGCCCGGCCTCCTACGTAGAGACAAAAACATCTAGAAAGGCGAATGGCAAATCGGAACACGAAACGAGGGTACACTATCGCATTTCCATCCTCTTGCGAAGAGAACCGGAAGATTGTGTGTGTCGCTGTCTCGCAGGAGCGAGCTCGACCATGGGATCATTCTGTAATATTTACTCAGCTGAAAAGGAAGAGCAATCTCGTTCTCGTCTTACCCTTCCCCATACACCCCGCCCCCGGGTGGATTGCGAACTCTCCATAGGAAAGAAAGAAAGAAAGAAAGAAGGAAGGAAGGAAGGAAGGAAGGAAGGAAGGAAAGAAAGAAAGAAAGAAAGAAAGAAAGAAAGAAAGAACAATCCCTGCAGTATCTGCATTTTCCCGCGTCTGTCCTCCAAAGAGAGGAATGTATACTTCGTATCTTCTAATGTATTTGACTTGTATTTGGCCTTAGTATTCCAGCGAGCACTTATTTTTTTAATGAAAGTGATTTTTTTTTTCATGTCCTCTTTTGCAGACTGAAGCTACAGAGCAACGTGCTGCAAAATGATTTGCCTGGCGTCCCAGTTCCCCCTGCAAAGTTCCCCTTCGCTTGTGACAAAATCAAGTCTGGCGACTTGACCTCGTCCCTCGTTCGCACAAGTCTGGCTGACCTCGGAAGCTCCTCGCGGTCAGGACTGGCTCCTGGGAGCCCGCTTCCACTGGAGTGGAGACGTAAAACACACACGTCCGTTATAAGAAGCCGACGGGACACCAATTTTATTTTTTTTTTATTTTATTTTTTTGCCTAAGGTGCTTTTTCACGAGGCTACTGGACTTTTTCTTGTATTTTCTTTGAAGACGTTTCGCTTCTCACCCAAGAAGCTTCTTCAGCTCACAAGCTTCTTGGATGAGAAGCGAAACGTCTTCAAAGAAAAAACAAGAAAGTCCAGTTGCCTCGTGGAAAAGCACCTTGGGGATAACTATGACCTGGATGACTGAGAATCTCTATAGACATTTTTTTTGCCTGGATAATTTGTTCGAATTTGTTGAGTGCGTTTTGCCTTAGAGTGTTCATTGGCTCTGAACACTTGAACTGAAGCAGAGCTCCTGCCGCGCCGCCTGAAAATCACTGAAACTTCAGCCGCCTGGTGGTCCTTCGAATAACTCAGCTAAATTTGAACCCGCTCTTTGTCTACCTTCCTCTGTGTAGCATCGCTGAGGACTCGTAGGTTGTGACTTTGTGACATCGTGACTAAAGAGGGGAAGAAAAAGACTAGCAAGAACCATTTCTTTTAGTGTTTCTTAAAGTGTAGTCCAGCTCCCCCAAGACCCTCTCAGGGGTCTGCAAACATTATTTGTCAGATATTAAAGTCATCTGCAAATAATAAATAAATATACCTTTTCTTTTTTTTGTTAAAAATATTAGGTTTTTTTTTAAATGAAAAATAGTTACATTTAATAGTGTTTTATTTTTACATAACTCGATAAATATTTTATGAATGCATTGGTTTTACTTTTTAATAAATGTTTAATATACAGACAAAAGCTCTTTTAGGGTCTTCCATAATTCTTAAAAGTGCGAAGAGTCCTGGAGAGCAAAACATATAAGAATTAATGTTTTAAAGTAGTAAGACAGTATGTTAAAATGTTAATCTTTGCCCTAGACATCCCAGACTGATCCCTGAAGGACATCTGTAAAAACTGATTATATTTAACAATATAGAGACAGTGACATTTTTTTTGACATCTTCCCATTGCTTCCTGATTTAAGATAACTTGTTTGAAATATTGTTAGGATGGGGTTACATTGTTTACTATATAAGCTGTGAACTGCTAATGACATGCCTTCAAGGGAGAGTAACAACACCAGATATATTGTAGAAGAAATGTTGCATTTCACCACAAAAGGGGCAAGATGACAGCATAACACTGCTTGTATGAGAATTATTCACCATCTGTGTGCCGAAATCATGAGAGGGCTGTGATTAGCAGCATAGTAACAATATAGTAATAATGACAAGAAGCAATTGCTAGATCACACCATAGTGGACAATTTTCATCCAGTATCCATTCTTCCTTTTTTAGAGAAGGTTGTGAAGAAGGTGGTCATGAGGTGGCTTCAGTGGATAATTTGAATCTCACTTATCAGAATTCAGGCATGGGCATGGTCATGCTTTTGGATGAAGCAAAGTGGGGGTAATGCATCCATCCTGGCTCTTCTTGACCTCTTGGCAGTTTTTATACCATTAATATAATAGTATCCACCTGGATTGGCTCCATAGAGTCCGAGTGGGAGGCCCTATACTGTACTGATCATTTTCCTTTCTATGGGATTGATACTAATCAGTGTTGATTGGGAGTGAGCAGTCCACCCTCAGTCCCTGCTTTGTGGGTCCATAGGGTTTGATACTCTCTTCACTCCAGATTAACATCTATGAACATGAAGCTGTTGGGTGAGATCATCCATCACTATGGGATGAGCTTTCATCAGTATGCAGATAATAATCATAAATCTCCACACCCATTGAGCTAAGTAATGCTTTTGAAACTCTGTCTTGGTTCCTGGAGTCTGTGGGAGTTTGGATGGGGAGCAATAAGTCTCAACTGAATCCTGGCAAGACTGAGTGGCTTTGGGTTTCAAGGCCTTTCAGATCAGGGACTTTATCAACTTTAGTATTAGAGTAGACAGAACTGCTAGCAATCTGGAGGTCTTTTTGAACTCACAACTCCTGCTTGAGGAGAAGGTAAAAGTTGTGACTAAGAGGACCTTTGCACAAATTTGTGCTCCAGGTGCACTCATTCCTGAAATGGGAGGCTCTACTTACTAGTTGCATATGCCCAGGTCACCTCCCAAATAGACTATTGTAATGCGCTGTATACCTTGCTGCTCTTGAACAGTATCCAGAAGCTTCAAATGGTGCAAAATGCAACAGCGTGGGCAGTCATGTGTGCCCCTAGAACACACATTAGACCTCCACTCTGCAAGCTACATTGGTTACCAGTTGTGCTATGTATGTTCAATTAAAAATGCTGCTTTTGAATTTAAGACCCCATAATATGGGACTGGGTTATTTGAGGAACCACCTCTCCCTGGATACATCTATCTGTCCCATTAGGTCTGGCAGAAGGGGATGTTACAGGTCCCATCTGATGGAACCAGGAGACAACTTGGTTGAGAAGAGAAGAGAGAAGCAACTTGGAGAGAAGCAACTTGGAACTAAGGAGAAACTTCCTGACAGTTAGAACAATTAACCAATGGAACAACCTGCATCCAGAGGCGGTGAATGCTCCAACACTGGAAGTTTTTAAGAAGAGACTGGACAGCCATTTGTCTGAAATGGTGTAGGGTTCCTGCCTGAGCAGGGGGTTGGACTTGATGACCTCCAAGGTCCCTTCCAACTTTATTATTATTATTATAAGTCTTTTCTGTTGTGACACCTGCCCTTTGAAACATCATTTCCCCTGAAATGAGATCAGCCCCAACCCTCTTGAATGTCCAGAAACTTCTTAAAACATTTTTTTTTCTCCCAACAGGTTTGGTATTCCAGGGTAATGGGGATCCTATAAAATGGTTATATTGTATGTGACATTTTGCAGCAATCTCCTGTTTTTTTAATGTTATTGTTTTTAATTGTTACTTAATATTTGTTTTAATTAATTGTTTTATTGTACACTATCACGAATCACGTCAGTGAGGTGAGGTTATACAAATTTGATAAATAGCAATATATAATAGTAATAGAAACTATTAGCCATCCAAACCATATTTCCTCACCTTATTTCAGTTTTGGTTTACATTATAGACCAGTGATGGTGAACCTTTTAGAGACTGAGTGCCCAAACTGCAACCCAAACCCCACATATTTATCGCAAAGTGCCAGGCTGCATCAGCATTGTGGTGCCCTCAGAGGGGTGTGTGTGGTTGCATGCCCCACTGGGTGGGCGTGGCTGCAGTGGTCACAGCAGACTGGGTGAGTGTGGCTGGGGCCAGGGTGGCTGGGGCCAGTCCTCACCATCTCCGGGGCATCCCTGGGGGGCCAACTCCACTTGCTCACTCACTTCCTGTCCTGTCGCTTCCAAATGCCACATGCTCGCTACTCTGGTGAACTCTGCTGGGGCAACGGCGTGCGTGCCCACAGAGAGGGCTCTGAGTGCCACCTCTGGCACGCGTGCCATAGGTTTGCCATCACTGTTATAGACTATTGCTGCTCCATGATAGTTCTGTATCTGTCAGCCTGTCATTCCAATCTGCAAAATGGGAATAAGCATGTAATTTTCTTTTTGTAAACAGTTCTCAGCTCTTATGGTTACAGTTTTACTTTTCAGATTGTTAAGATTTAATTATTTCCCCATATTTTCATCTTACAATACAACTTCAATTAGAATGCATTGGTGCTTCTTTGTATACCTTATATATATTATGTTCCTATGTCATACCACTAATTTAAACCCTGGATTATTTTTTTAGTGTTCCTTATGAGTAGTTTCACTCTAAAAAAAAATCTTTTGTGTCAAAAATACTCACACAGTTCTGTTAGTGAACAATTCAATAATTAATGAATTGTCTGTCTATTCAGGCTATCATGTAAACAGTGTATAAACCTGAAATAGTCATATGATGCACCCCTGTGTTTGAAAGATTTAAATTTTCATGTATAAAATCAATGTCTGGATTTAAAAGATAAGCTGAAAAACCCTGTAAAAACCTATTTAATATATAGGCATGTATAGTCAATTCTGCAACATGGTTTGCCCCAGGCAAGCTCTTCTGGTGGCATTGGGTTTTATATAAATTTGACAAATAAATAAATGAAAGCTTAATAATATAAAAGAACCATATCCATGAATCAAGATAGAGCCAACGATAAATGAACAGAAAAGTTAAATGAATTATAATTAATACAAAATATCTTTTGTGAAACTCTGCATCTTGGTCCTTTCACTTACAGTTCTGCCCTCAGTACTTCCTCATACATTTTCTATTTATAGAAATATTTACAAGAAGCTTTTCTTGTCTCACAGTGAAAGAGACAATTTGTAGATTGTTCACTTGGTTATATAGTCCTATCAGTTTTTTTAATGGAGCTATTTCTCAGAAAAGTTCCAAGTAAGAGACCATAAAGAAGAATAAGGATGATGGAGGAGAAACAGAAGCTTCCAGAAACCTCAGTGGTCAACCTGGTGCATGTATTTGAGAACTTCAGGTACAAGGGATTTGGGGAGCTGTTGTAATGTCATGGTTGAAGGTCAGATATATAAGAGCTCAAATAGTGGAAGACTGAAATACAGGATTTATTATATTACCACTTAGGAGAAAATGCTTTGAAATATCCGTAAAAGTCAGAGAATTGTGGTTACACAAATGCAGCTTTCCTCTTTGGAAAAGTGTTATGATTATTTTTTCCTTGATGCCTTAAAACCCAAAACCATGGAGTGTAGACCTGCATAAAAGTTATTTAATAACTCAGGTATATGACCATAATAAAGGTTTGATATGAATGCTGTTTAATAATTAGGTTAGAATCAACCTTATTTAATTTTGAATTGGGCTTCCCTGCTATGAAAAAAGGTATATTCAATGTATTTTATTTTTTATGGTGTGGTTTCCAAATCTGTCCTAAATTTTCTGTTGCCTTATAATAGAACATTATATTTGGAAACTTTTTTTCTCATACTTGATGCTGAGATACTTTTATTTCTCAACTAACTAGAATTTGCCATGGAATTAGCTGGATTTTTAGTCTTTTTATTCAAATACTTTGCTCAGATTCTTTGAATATTCAGGAGAGAGAAAGAGAAAGAGGTCCAAGAACAACAACTATAATGATGTGCATGAAGAATGGGATAGCAAAGTTAATTCCTTTACTACCATCCAGTGGTTGCCTGGAGCTTTGTAAACTAGATTTGGTGTCCAGGTCAAACGGATTGTTGAAATTTTATTATATGACTTGGGAATCTCCATTTTTATGTATCTGGTTTGGCTGATCTGGAACCCTCTGAGTACATTTCTCTTGTTGATTGTGAACTATGGTTTGCTCTTTAAAGTGAAACTTTCTTCGATAAAAGGAAATAATTACTGGCCTTGGGAAAAGTTGAGGAAGCTTAAGTACGTTATGAAGATTGTGAAACAGAAAAGAGGATGTAGTTCTTGATAGTAACACTCAGTTTGTAAAAAGAAATGCAGCTTTATTTTTTGCATAGGCTGGTATTATCTATAACAGGGGTCCCCAACCCCCGGTCCATGGACTGGCACCGGCCTGCAGCATGCCAGCAACCGGGCCACGCAAACAAGCAAAGCCCCATCCATGGGATGCAGGCAGCACATGAAACTACCCTCCCTCTGGTCTGCGGAAAAATCTTTCTCCACAGAACCGGTCCCCGGTGCCCAAAAGGTTGGGGACCTTTGATCTATAAGAGACATAAACAGAAAATCTGATGACTACTTAGAGAGGAAGAAAGAGAGGAGAGTGTATTGCTGAGGATCTTACACCCCATATCTATGATTCTTTCATATTGTAAAGTTGCATTGGGAATTTGTTAGATTCGTTTCTTATGTTATTTAGCTACATTCTTTCATTTATTCAGAAGTAAGTCACAATACATGGCATCAAGTAAAACTTAGTTCTAAACTGGATAATGCCTCACTAAACTTGATGAGACTTAGGTTTGTATATAGATAATATAGACTCGTGCTTTAAACTAATGTAAACATTTCCTGGAATTAATAATCAATGTTATTAACTGCAAAAATGACATAATTTCAAATACAGATATTTATGAAATTACAGACATCAAAAGTGATATTAAATGGTGTTCTACATGCTACTTTCATTTAAATAATACCTGCTACAATGCATGTGGACATTATTACAATTATTTATATCCTACCTTTCAGCATAGAATCCTACCAGCACATATCTGTAATAATGACAGATTTCCATATCATGCCCTACATATTTTGCCTTAAAACATTAGAGACCCATCTGTAGTGCATCTCAGGGCTTAGCAATTTTTTCAGGTGTTAGATATTACTGCATGATATGAGGTGGGGGGGAGGGAGGGAACACAAGCAACCAATTAATTAATGGAAGTTTGCTGAGTGACTTTGGGCCAGTCACCCTCTGTCAGCCTATCCTTCTTCACAAAGTTGTTGTGGGGGGGAAAAGGAACGAAGTGGTGCTATCTATTAAATTTTGAACTCCTGAATAAAAATCTAGATATAACCAGATTTACTGTAAGCATGTCTACATATTTCCCCTCCCATTATGGCTCTCATGATAGGTCTGTGTTATAATGCGTTACGCAAGATTATTGAAGAGATTGAGGAAGGTCAATTTACTTATATAATGTTCAAGGGTTTCTGCAAATTTCATTTTGTATGATTAAAGAAACAACAGACATTTATGGCTTTTCTGTGCCAACTGGAGACTGGAGCTGTTTTTCTGAATTCTAGAACCCAAACAAGCTGGATGGGCTTCTCCTTGGATCACTATGAAAAGGATTGGATTACTTCTGCAGCCAAAGATCCAATCCACAAATAGACCAGAAACTCTTTGCAAAGTTGCATTATCAAGGATTATCAACAAAGAAGAAACAATAGCCTTTTTTGCTTTGTTCCCTTTTGATATCCAACAGTCAGTGGGTGAAATTTTCCTATCTTAGCGGCAGCATGATCTCATTCCTGCATATCATGACAAATCATAACTCTAGTTGCATGTTCAAAAGTAGTAACCCTCATGAATGAAGGCGAATATATGTGTGTCTCAGGATAACGTTGCAGGATCCAATCTGGGTCGTTCACCGGGACCTCAGAGGTTTTGCCTTCTGAACTTTTGGACTCGTGCTGGAGCCCATCCTCAGGGAACTTCTGTTTAGCAGTAGTAACCCTGTCTATGCTATTGGCCTCTATAACATTTCCTTGATGTTTAAATTCTAACCAAGTATTTAATTCTGCCTTTAAATGAATATTATTTAATTCTGCCTTTAAATGAATACTATTACACTGAATATGCATATTAACTTATATAAAGGCATACCTGCTTTGTTTTTGTTTTGGGCATCCCTTTACTTTATTTTGAAGAAGTAAATGAAACAGGACAAATTTCTAAAACCTTTGTTTTTCTGTGGACAGGCCCTGTTGCAGTCCTGAGAAAGAGCACATCCTTCCCCAATCTAGGTTACTAACAACTCCAAGTCCTATGGTACCTTCCATGCTGCCATTGGTGACAGGTGAAAGAGCCATCGGAGACATTAAGAAAGTTTCAGTTATACAGCCTGGACAGGTGCACTGTGACACAAAGTCTCTAGAGCAGCAACAGCAAGCTCCTAAAATGCTGCCTGTCAAATGTCTCAGCTCTTTTCGAGGAAAGATCACTGTCGGCAGTTGGAGGCCAAAACAAGTCTCAGATTCTCAGCCAAACTTCATCATGCAGTCTGGAAGCAGCAAGAATCAGGTAATAGGTTATACCAAGGCACTATTGATATTATGTACAGATTCTCATATTGTGATCCGCAATTTATGGATAGTCCATAAATATTCTTTGGATGCTGTGTAGAAAGGCTGTGGAACAATCAAGAATATTTTAACATTAGACATCAGGACAGTTTTGACCAAAATCAAATTATTGAGCTGTTTCATATTTGTATTGGTAATACTGTAATATTTGAAAAAAAAATGATATTCCACTATAAGTTATATACTGTAGGTGTCCTATTTTACAACAATTTATAAAAGGCTCATTGAAATTCACTAGAAATTTCAGATATTTCATGAAGGAAAACAATGATCATTGCTACTGAATTACTACATTGGTGATGCAGTCTCAAAAGTTGCCTATCATGGCTAAAGATATCTCTCTCTCTGAATCAAAATATTTTAAATGATTATGAATCATAGGTTTCCAAGCCTGTTTCTGCTTACTCTGTATTCGTAGGAAGCAGAGGAGAAAAAAATAGCTTTGGAGCTGCTGGAAACTGAACAGGCCTATGTGGTTCGCCTTCATCTTCTAGACCAGGTTGGTTGGCAGCAGCATTTCAGCTTTCTGATGTCCACTATCAAAAAGCTGAAAATAAACTACTTACCTGATTATTATTTTACTTAATAACAATGCATGAAGAGATAATAAAATTGCCTTGTGGATATTTTCATCCTGTACAACTCATTTTTTTAAAATTCAACAAATCCCAGATTTCTGTAGCAAGCAACCAGTTTTTAATACTTCAAAAATCCAAAAACTTGTCACAAAGTAAAAACAGAGCCCTTTCTGATATTCCACTGTCAAAGTAACTCCTAACTATTCTCCTAATGGAACTACATTGATTTGGAAAATTATATGAAAAATAAAAAGCCTATCTGTTTCTGTTCCAGATGACCTTTAATTACTATTATAGTAATTATAACTACTATAATATTATATTATAATGATAACAATTAGTACTTTAATTACCATAAGTCTAGAAAACGTTAACCCAGGTTATCTCTTTTTTTTTCTTTTATGTTGTGCTTTTAACATCTAGGTTTGCAGGGAGAGACCTTGTTGATTCTATTGATCTTACAGAAGTTTCTGCAACAGACTTTTGGGTTGAAAAGTGGGGCAAAGCATCACAATTAAAACTGTGTTTCTTTGTTGACTGGGAATGTTCTTTACAGGTTTTTTTCTCAGAGCTAATTAAAGAAGCCAAAACTACAAAGGCATTTCCGGAAGATGTAGTAAAAATGATCTTCTCTAATATCTCCTCCATTTACCAGTTCCATTCCCAGTTTTTCTTGCCAGAGCTGAAAAAGCGTATGGAAGGCTGGTAAGTTATGAAATCAGCCTGCTTGGTTTTTTTGCCCACTACTTTCCTGGAAAAATACAACAAATTTAATAGCTTGTGGAAAGCTAGCCTATTCAAGTAGTTTAAGCTTGAGTCACTGAGAGTTTTATCTGAAAACTTTGTCTAATCTTGAAAAACATGTTATGTATGGATAAAATAAAATAAACTGTTTATTTTTATATGTATATAAAATTTTATTAAGAATTTCAGTTATAATAGTTAAATCTAATACAAATTAAACTTAAAGAAAAGAGAACAGGAAGGAGTAAAAAGTGCAAGAAAAAAGAAAGAAAAGAAATAGAAAAGAATTTAATAAAGAGAAGACAAATATATCAAACGTGGCTTCCAGCCATCTTCACTCTCCCTTTTTTATGACTCTATAATCTCTTAATTTGAGGTAGAGTTGGGACAATTGGCTGGATACCCTTCTTGATACCCATGTGAAGTTTGCAGGAGATTTTTTTTCTTTGCACCCTAGAACAGAAATATCTGTCGCTACTTAAAATTGAACTCTCAACCTTCCAACTGGGAGGTGAACATCTTCACCACTAGGCCACCAGCTTCTCACACTTTCAATCTGCATCACAACAAGCACAAACAAATTTAGTGACTCTTGATCCCCTCTAAGATTATAAAGAATTATGTCTCCATTCCATTTCTTATCTCTCATCTAAACCAAATCTGTAAAACATCATCTTTTCAGTGCTGGTATCAGCAGAAAGTTCATAAAGGCTTGTCAGAAGTAACAATATATCTTGTTTTAACCTTGATCAAATAAACCAACTTTATATTCCTTCCTTTTACTTTTATCAGTATTAATATTTATTTCATTCAAATATTGTTGTAGCATTTGATTTTCTCTTAATTTCTTCTTTATCCCATTGCACAGAATTCTTCAAGTCTTTAAAAAGCTTCTTCCAATAAAAAAAATATATCCAGGTCATTTTCTTGGTTTGTCTTTTTATATTTCCCTTTTAAATTTTAAAACCTCAGCAAGTTTCCTTTGTAAATCCAGTAAAACATTCTTTTCTAAGTCCTTCTTTTGGCCTATCAGCTGTAAATACACTTTTGATATCATCTCTATCTTGTCAGATAAAATTTGTTCTACATACAGTATGTCATGTTTTCAACATCATCTTTTGGACATTGTCTATCCATTATTTCAGACAACGTTGATATTGTGACTTCTGTGTTCTGATTCTATTACTCAAAAATCTTCTTTAATATTTTTATTCTTATAATTTTCTGCATCATTTTACAGTTTTGTAAATGTTTCCTTTGCCTAAAACTTTAATCACCTCTAGTGTCAGTTTTTCAAATCAGGAAATTGCTTATCTTTGTTATGTCTTTTTAAAAACAAAACAATCTGTTTTCCATCATAAGATATTTGTTCTTTATAATTAATAACAAAATCTGATTGTAAAAATTTCACTATTTTAATTTTACCTGGACTTTTAGTCTATTTATAACTTTGTAAAATCAAAATCTTATTTGGTTTTTTCCTGTTTATTTCAGATTTGTTAAATTCTTAAGCTTATGGTTAACATTCTCTTTAATTCAGGATTAAAGGCAGTTGAAAACAATGTTTCATTGTTTTCATATTTGCTCTACCAAAGGTCTCTAATGGCTTAGAAATAGTTAATGAGAAATTTCTGAAAGTGATTAGAGGACGAGGTTTGCCAATTTAGTGTCCTTTAAAAAATTCAGCTTCCATTGTGAGCAAAATGGCTAATCCCATTGTTTTCTGGTGTTTAAACCCACAGAAAACCATTATTCTGCATTCTCTTTACAAGGAGCAATCATCTGGAGCACATGTGGACCATCTCCTGTCCTCTTTTTACTCATTGGTTCTTTGATCTTTGCTATGACCATCAGCTTTACTTTTATAGAACAATCTTCAGTATACCATATGTCCCTGAAAGGCTGACTAGCTGACTTTGTCTTGTTTTCACAGTAGGCAGAGAAAAGAATATTTTGACAAACAGCATTTTTAGAACATTGATACAAATGTATATTATTGATAATATTTTTATTTATTTAATGATTTATTCCATCATTTTGCATTCTTAAGTTCTATAAAAATAACATCCAGCAACAATTCACTTCTTATGAACATTCCTGTAATGTAATGCAATTCATTGATTGATTATGTGCCATCAAGTTGGCATTAATCCATCGTGACCGTTCAGATTTTCTCTAGGATGGAATGTAATAGGTAAGTTTTTTTAGTATTTACCGTGGCACTTTGTAGATTTTATTGATTTACATTACATTCTTATCCCTCCCTATTTATTTTGGTATGGCTTTCCTCTGAATAACCTTTAAGGCATACAACTCTGTAAGCTTCTGTTCTTAACCGAGCAAGTTTATGTCTGTTTTCAGAGAAATACCTGCTATCTTCAACTCTTGTTACAAGCTCTGAAAAGTGAAATACTGTAGTGGGTAATATAAAAGGTTTCAACAAAAGATAAAATCCAACACAGATCATTTATTGCCTATTTGAAATATATTTCAAACATATTCACCATCTGAATAGGTTTTTGCAATCTATTGTGATCATTTTTGCAGAAGAGAAAATCAGTACTGCTTTGCTGGGATATATTTTTCAAAATCAGAAAATTGCTTATTAAAAGATGGGTTATGTTCAGGTTATGAGTCATCATGTCAGTGATAGATGCAGCTGGATATTTCTCCAGGATTCCTAGTTTATTTTAGCTTTTTTTTGCAATTCTTGCTACAGGGATTCCAATCCCAGAATTGGGGATATCATCCAGAAAGTGGCTCCTTTCCTGAAGATGTATAGTGAATATGTGAAGAACTTTGACAAGGCAATGCATCTGATCACTGTGTGGTCGGAAAAAGCCTTGCCATTCCAGGAACTCATCTCAAACATTCAGGTGAAATGGTTTCAGAGCTCATTGTACAATTTGTTTTTTATTCAGATTGGTTTTAATTTGATTAGCTATATATTTGTTTAGGAATATAATCTAGTATGCATATATCTTGTCTGAAATTTCTGGGTTTATTGCTTTGAATATGAATATATATATATATATTCATACATACATACACAAAACATTTTCCATGTTCAAGAGCTACTAGATATTTAATCTTTCAGAAAGATAATAGTTTTTTTTCTTCTTTTCTCCATGGAATTAGGAAAGAAACTTCTGTTAGTATTAACAGTAGTTTTCTAAATCTATTCTCTTTGTGCATGTATGATGTTAATCCTTTTCTACTCAATAGGATTCTTCCAGAGAGTCCCTTTATATCAATTACACTTCAAAACAATTTACAATAATTCAAATTATCTTTTCCTTGGCACCAATTCATTGCTTTTTTTTTTTTAAAAAAGAAGAAATTGTTACATGTGTTTGTGGGAGAATTGTTGTTTGTAGGGAGGAATGACTAAGCCTTCCTTCCACAATTGTGTGTCTTCCCTTTTTGGCTGTGTTCTTCAAAAAACAACAACAAAAAAACAGTCTCCTGGCTGAAAACTTGCCTTGGTCATGATGCTCTAGAAGAAGAGATATTATTTTTTCTTTTCTAACAATCACCTACAATCAAAATATATGGGAGATAGGCCAGGGCTATAGGAGCTATACATAGCATCAGAGAATGAGCCTGCTCATAGGCATGAAGAGTACCTTGAGGTGGTGGCTCCCACCTAGATTGGTACTGTTTGACTGTTGACTTTCTGATAGGGAAAGATGAGGATGAAGTGAAGTTTATTCAGGAGCTGTTTTCCCTTTCATCAAAAGGAGCAAGGCTTTAGAGTGGAAACAGAGCCTCTGTAGTCAAGATAGAAAGGTTGTGTATGTGTATGTATATGCATGGATACTAATGAATCCTTCATTGTCCTGGTTTTGCTTTCTTTTTCTCTTATTGTTATGATCCTGCACAGAAACAGGAAGTATCGGCTAATTTAACCTTGCAGCATCACATGTTGGAACCAATACAGAGAATTCCCAGATATGAACTCCTCCTGAAGGATTATATTCAAAAACTACCTTTGGAATCACCAGACAAGGAAGATGCACAGAGTAAAAGTTTTGCTTTGGTTCCTTCTTTTAGAATGGGAGAAAAAAAAGTGAGAGAAAAGTGATCAATCTTGCCTTTGAAATGATGCCTTCTGGTCTCCTTACTGAATGATTTTAGATGTTCATGGTACTGGTGCTCTTTTTAATATACCATAGTTTGTCCAAACTATTCCTCTGTTGCTCAGTGTCACAATTGCTAGTATAGTATTGGGCATGAACTAACTGTATAAAAGAATTGTAAGAATACTATTATTTCTTGCAGAAGCTTTGGAAATGATTTTCACAGCAGCCAAACATTCTAATGTTGCCATCGCTGAAATGGTGAGTGTCCAGCTGATTAATTATGTCATTCTCCTTCACTATAGGCAGGTATCTCAATAGTCGAGTTTCTGTTTCCCATTTTGTGAATCTTTATTCCCTTGCTACTGCAGGAAAGACTCCAGAACCTATGGGAAGTATATCACAGGCTAGGCCTTGATGATGACATTGTTGATCCTTCTAATGAATTTATTAAAGAAGGACCCATTCAGAAAATCTCTTTCCGGTTCAACAGTACCTCAGAGAGATATCTGTTCCTGGTGAGATATTTTTATTTTATTTATTTATTTCTTAAATTTATTCACCGCCTATCTTGCTGTGGGGCTACTCTAGCCGGCTTATTTATTAGGTGTAAAGTGATGGAGCAGGAAGATTGTATCAAGTTGCCGATGCTAATGACTGCAGTGATTTACAATCATAATTCCAGGCTCAATTGTGGTCATCAGTCAAGGACTACCTGTAAAAGAATGCACTGATTAGGATCATTGGTGATAAATATTTTCCTGAGGTGTACAGACATAGTCTGAAAAATGATTGCAAATATTGTTATAATTATTGTTGTGATTGTTATGTAAATATCAGCTTAGCTTAATTTACTGGAAAGGGTAAGAAAGAAATTGAAGATTGTCTCACTTTGATTTTCTTGTTTATAAGAGGGTGCAGAGAGAAACTCTATTAGGCTTTCAAGTTGTTGCTATTAAATAATAGAGTTTCTGTAGTCCTTGTGATGTCTGTTTCCTGACCTCTCTTAACACTGAAGTGATGACACAAGGTCTATAGAAAGAAAGGGATTATGTTTTTATTCAGTCTTTTATTAATAGCAATTCCTTCTGCTTTTGTTCAACTTTCTTTGTACATAGTGTGTATTTGTGGGTTTGTTTTGTTTTTGCAACTTTTAGTTTAATAACCTGCTATTGTACTGTGTACCAAAAGTCATTCAAGTGGGTGCCGAATTTCAAGTGCGCCACCGGATTGATGTCAATGGCATGAAGGTCAGAAAATTTCATTGTCTATTTATTTATTTATTCAAGTCAATTTGGAAAACAGCTGTGATGACTTTTATGGAAGTTTCCTTTGAGTAAGGTTGGATAGAGTTGCAACTAGGGCAGAAAATTCAAGAATTCAAAAGAGAGAAGAGAGAGAAGAGACAGAGAGAATGAGAGAGAGAGACCCCAAAACAAGTGAACTGATAGGTAGGGCTTTGCAGATTTTGAAGATAACTCTGCTTTAAAGCAGGGGTTTTTAAAAGTTTTTATACTACAGAATCTCTTAGTTTAAAATACTTCCCAGAGCCCCTGATCAAGAGGCAAAACTAGTGGCAGAAAATTGGTTGTGTTTGAGTGAACTTAGTTTCTCATGGAACTTCATCAAGTTGTCATGGAGAACATAGTTTGAAAAGTCCTACTTTAGAAAATGCAGGGATTGCTAGTCAACACCTCTCTGCAACTCCTTAAAGCAATGAAGTCTTTTCCTTAGGATCACTCAGCTATGCTATACATTTCTTGCATACTATCATAGCTTAAATTGTATATGACTGAATGAGCCCTATGAAGTAAATTAGTATTTACTTTCATTTCAGTGCTCTGTTTTTTTTCTTTTAGGTTCGAGAACTAAATGATGTACAGTTTCCTCATGCTTTCCTTGTGTCAGGAAAGCAGCGCACCCTAGAGCTGCAAGCTAGGTATTTAAGCCAGAAATGTAGCTCTTTTTGATTCTAGCAAAAGAACATAAACTCTGCCTCTCCAATAAATGGCATCTCTTTCTCTGCAGGTCCCAGGAGGAGATGAATGTCTGGATTAAGGTAGCCATTGATGCAATTTGTTTTTTTTAAAGCTTAGGGAGCATTCTGGCCAGTCAGGAAACCAAAATCCTCTCAGTAAGTATAATGGGTTATGAGAATAACCTTGAGAGAAGAGGAAGAAGATCTGCAACCTAATCAGTAGTCTCATAAGAGAAATCTGGATTGAAAGCATGAATGGGATGGGGATATTTTTTCAGAATTTTTTCTCCCTAGTTCTCTGAAATTACAGAAAGGGGGGGGGCAGAATTTGGAAGCTAGATTGCTCTTGAGATATAAAATCTCAGAGAACAAACCTTCACCCTTATCCTACACCTGAGCTACACCTGAGATATTCACCACTATTGCAAATATAAAATCTCCTTTAAGTCAGACTTCATAGACATATCATTGTAGTTTTCTGAACAGCAATGTAGAAGTGACTTATTATTGAGATCTCTCTCTCTCTCTCTCTCTCTCTCTCTCTCTCTCATTTCCCAACTTTGGTATTTCTTAAGTGTTCTCTCATCCAAATCCTAACCATGTCCTTCCCTATTTAGCTTTTCAAGATTAAATAAGGTCAGTTTGATGCTACCACATAGCTATGCCTTAAGAAGAGACCCACAATTGATGCAGTATCCTTCAATATAGAAGGTACTGATGCTGGTAATTTGTAATTTTGACAGCCAGATCAAGATTTTTGGGAACCCCCATAGAGACCGTTAGTGACTCAAACACATTATGTGATGGGGCAGCTCTACGCATTTACAGGGAAATCAATTTCATTCACCTATAAAATGAGTAAAAGAGTTGAGAGCAGAAAGCTCTACAAGGAATTTAAACCAAGGCTGGGGAAGGTTTTAGAACTTCCCCCTTTATTCTTAAAATCCCCCACCCATATACACTCATGTATAAATCCACTCATGCTTCATCTTTGATTAGGCCAGTCTTAGATTTTCAACAGATAGGAGCTGCTATTCGCACATGTAAATTGAAACTAAAATCCTTCTTTTCAAAAATATTTTCTTCCTCCCTCCCAGACCTTCCAGTCTGCCATCAACAAGAAAGAAAAGAGGAGCGAAACCTTCAAGGCTGCAAGCCAAGGGCAAGAAGCAGAGACACCAGACTCCAGTGTAAATCTCCAGTTACACACCTATTGTGACGCTACCCCATTTGCACTTTAGAGCTACCAATATTCATTTCCTCTTTTAAAACCATGAGCTCATTTTCCAAAGATCATACCTATGTAAATGTACAAAGACCTTAAAAGTCTCTGATAAACAAAGGAGAAGGGGAGATGTACAGAAAACACATCTAACAAAATTCTGTCAGTATGTTGTAGCTGTCAGAAGTAGACAGCAGTTTCACATTTATTCTACTCAAGCTACTTTTGAATTGAGGCTGTCACTTTCTGTGGGGCCAGAGGTTGACTGAAAGGGTGGCTTGATTCAGAGTCTCTTTTCTTGCAGCAGGGCCAGTCACAAGAGCTGGGCAAATGGGCTCCTCAGTGGGTAAGAGACAAGCTGGTCACCATGTGCATGCGCTGCAGAGAGCCGTTCAATGCTATCACACGCAGAAGGCATCACTGCCGAGCTTGTGGCTATGTGAGTGAGTTTATTTGTTCTCTCCCCCCCCATTATTTTTGGTACAGAACAATCAAGATAACTGATAGCTCCTTGTTGATCTGAAGAGCAAGTACTAAGAACAAGGGTGATTATGGCTAGTGCAATGGCAAACCTGAAAAACCTTGCCAAGAAAACTGCAGGGACTTGTCCGATCAGTCTCCAAGAATTGGATACAATGAACTTTTTTTAAAAAATAACTCACCACATTCAACCTTCTCCAAACCTGTGTTTTTTCTCCTGGAGGCAGGTGGTGTGTGCCCGGTGTTCTGAATACAAGGTTGAATTGCAATATGACAAGAATGGACTCAGACGAGTCTGTGCGGAATGCTATGCCTTCCTAAAAGGGAATTTGCTGCCCGTCGAGCAGCATGGGAAGCCCAAAGGCATTCTGGAGGTGAGGGAACAGCAGAGTTGGAAAGTCTGCTTCTTCTCTTTCTCAGGCTTGTTTCTTGGTCTGTTGATAACTTGACTTTCTGGGTAGGAATTTTGTTAACTGCAATGATTTCACTGTTGTCACTTTGAAAGTACTTATCTAGCAAGCACTTCCCCATCAACATTATCTACACAGAAGCATGCATACATAGCCATCATGTTCTTTCCCTTCAGGTAAGCAACATTATGCAGCATAGAAAGGAGAGAAATAGAGAAGAGCCAAAGAAATTAAAAGCCTGAGATACAAGGGCGGGGGGTGGGGGGAAGGAAACATAGCTAAAGCTACTTTACACTAAGTTCATTTAGTCTAAGTCTCCATACTTTTCTGTCTTTTCCAATAATCTTGGCTTCCATCAGGAGCATACCTCTCCCCACCTCCATTTGTATGTATTGTTTATAATTGCATATTTATCCATTGCTTGTTATTTATATCGCCTTTTGTTCTTTAAACATCTCACTTCTTTGTCATCAAAGCCAAATATGACTTCCTCAGACTCTCATCTCTTCTTGAGCCCTTCACTCTTCTTTCATAGGGTTCTTTCATTAGTCTTTCTTTACTTATGACCAAACCACCTCAATATACTGTATCTACTTGCAGATAAGCTCATCTGTGGATCAGCCAACCTTCAGGTTTTTTGGTTCCCCCCCCAATTATATTCTGAAGGGCCTCTTTGTTTTCATATTTGTATCGATAATTTTTTCCCAGAACAGATTCTGTTTTAAATTTTCACAACTGACTTACCTCCAGGTGGCACATTTTTCATGGTACTTGAAATGAGGGCCAGATTTATTTGTGGATGGGCTTGCCAGTGAATATGTATAGATACTTTTAAAAAGCATCGCCATGTATAGTTGCAGATCTGCAAATAAATTGAACTCAATTTTAGGCTGTATTTTGGAATCTAAAATTCATGCCTTACCCACAAGTATATATGGTATTTCTTTCATGCTTGTCACTCATTGCTGTATTCAGCCTATCACTCCTACTCCTACTTCTATCACCTTTTTATCAACATTTGCATGTTTTCAGATTTCTCAATTGCAGTGAACATCCTACCGTGGTAGAGAAATATATTGCTCTATTTTTCACAGTTTATAGATCATTTGCAATTGTTCACTCCATTTTCCTTGGCAAACTCAATCACTATAGGCTTCAATAAATTACCTTTCAAATCCATACTTCTTGTTGTATCTAATATTTGCTACAGACATTTGAGTTGTCAACTAACAATTATGGTATTGTGTGCCTACAAAAATTTATCCAGGAATACATTAAGCAACAAAAAGGACATCACAGATTCTTGCCTTCCCCTCTGTTCGATGTTGAACACTTGTTATGCATTCCATTTGTTCTCAGTCTTTATTTATATCATATACCACTGTAATTACAGTCAATCAAACTTCAATTTGATATTTGCACAAAACGTTGAAGCATATTGACTTTATCATGTGCTCTGTCTATATTACAAATAGAGAACAAATTTTGTTTCTCACATTCATACATTTTTCAATGAACTTCTGAAGAGTAAGAATCTTGGTTCGGTACATTTCTTGCTAGATATACTGTAAAGCCACACTCCAGTTCCCAAATATTGTTTATTGTCATCTCTTGTACTGTAATCTTCTGATCAGAATTGTCTTCCCAGGCATATTTAACAAACAAACCTGTATAGGTTTTACATTCACACTTGCTACTTTCCCCTTTTTATAGAGGAACGATAATGGCATTCTTCCATGATCACAAACAGATACTAACTTTTCACATGTTAAACAAGTCACACAGCCATGCCATAAAAACCCCATCTGTATTTTTTACATTTTTAAATAAATAAATTTTCCATTTGCACCATCTTTACCTACAACCTTACAATTTGTCAATGCGACTGCAGCATTTATGACTTTTTTCACCAGTTTTTTCTTGGACAATAACATTTGTAACATTCTTTCCAATTTCACTCTTCAACATACCTCTATCATTCCCATATATAGTACATGGTTAAAATACTCTTTCCAGGACTGTCTCACTCCAAAATCACTTCATCATTGTTAACTGCTACAGACTTCTTATTTAGCTTTTTTTATCGCTTTCAGAACATTTTTTTTTATTTCCATCAAAAATTGCTGTGCATTTCCTTTGCCTCTTTTAAAGGTTGTGTGCTCTCTATAACTATATTCTTTGTAAATATTGTTTCTCTACATAGACATTATACAAATACCTTTTATCTTCATTTCTTGCAGCACTAATTCTATTATATGCTTTTTTCTTCATTCATGGCCTTTTTCACTTTCCGCTGCCATCAAGCATCCTTTTTAATAATTATCATTACCATATTCCACAGATTTCCTTGGGACCCAGTAACATATTTCTTTTCATTTTGTATCAAGTAGCTTCAATATCCTCTTTTTCACATCCACTTTCCATTATTTCTATTGAAAGATTAATCTATTCTCGAATACGTTTTTTAGAAGATTCATTCTCCCATTATCACTAGAGCCTACTAATATGCAGCTATCAACAACCTATGAATGCAAACTTCCTTATGCAACAACCTAAACAACATCAGTTCATACTTTCTGACATGTACAGGTAGTCCTTGGTTAACAATGGGAATTGGGACCAGAATTTCTACCGCTCAGTGACACAATCATAAAGCATGATGTCACATGACCATGATAGTTTCAGCTGAATGAAATCTCCATGTTCAGAGGACAAGAAACCTTTTGGGTAGGAGCTATTAATAATGATGTTAACCATTTGTTTAATTGGCAGAAAGAATCAGCAGAAATATCAGGCCAGAGCCTGATATGCAGTTTTCTGCAGCTGATGGATAAGAATGGAAAAGGGAGCATGCGTGGCTGGTTTGTGATCCCACAAGATGATCCACTGGTGTTGTATATTTATGCTGCACCTCAGGTATGTGTTTGCATAGAGTTTAATATGAAGGAAATTAATAAGGCTTACAAATGAGCTGTTTCCCATCTTCTAGAACCCTCCCCTTTAATAATTAATTATTTCATAATATCAAGCTTGGGTTTATAAGAACATAGAAATTAGTGACAGGAGAAGTTCTCCATTCCAAACTAGCTGTAAGATGTGGTTGTGAATATTTTTCAGCTTCTCCCTTCTCCCACCATTTCCATCAGCATCGTCTCAGAAAATATATTAGATGGATTAATATGCTCAGGGCGATGTATATATCATTTGTTTCATTGTTTTCCCCATAACAGGGATCCCGTGAAGTAGGTTGGAACTGAAAGATGGTGACTAGTTTAAATGCACTCTAGGGGCTTCTATTGCTAAGGGTAGACCTGAGCCCGGGACTCCACAAACTTAAATATTATTTAACTATTCTTCTTACAGAAGCCTTCATCCTTCCCAGTGATTTTTCACTTCTGGAAGGAAATCATCCCACCCCAGCCTGACAATTTCACATGTTTTGTTGTCACCAAGGCAGGGAAGGTTGAATTTCTTTAGTCCGCTGAGAAGAAAAGCAGTAAGAAGTAGAGAGTCCAAGCTGAGCCATGTGCTGAGGTTTGACATGACCCAGGAAGTAATTGATGAGAAACCAAGGTAGAAATCAGAATATAAGACAGGCAGGATGCACATGATCCCAGCACAAACAAGAAGGCTTTCTATGTTTCTGTTCTGCCAAGGAATTTAATATATAGTTCTGCTTAGCCAAATATACTTCAGAGAGGATTGAAAAATCCAAGTTCTAGCTTTGGGAGTTCCTGATCTTGAATAGAAAAATTGAATAGACAGGAATGAAGTAAGCAATTGTTTTATTTATTTTATTTATTTATTACATTTATATGACTGCCCATCTCATAAAAAATTACTCTAGGCAGTATACAACAATTTTACTTAACTTTTCCCTACTTAAGCAATAGCAGCCTCTTGAGGCTGTTTTTGGTAAAACAAAATAAACTAAGTTAACCCTGGACAACTATGGACAAAACTAGTTTGGGCTTTTAGTAGTACAGAATTATACCAGTTTGATGATCACTTTGTTGAGATATGAAATTAGTTATGGGATATTTGAAAATAACTGTATTTGGACCCTTTCCTTCACCTGACCCAGGATGTCAAAGCCTATGCCTCTATCCCCCTGTTGGGTTACCATGTCAAGGAGCCATATCAGAATAATCCCCGTCACATCTTCCAGTTGGTACAATCCAAACAGACCTATACCCTGGTTGCTGAAACTGAAGAACTGAAGCAGCGCTGGATGAAAGCCATTGAACAGTCAGCCAGGGGGGGAGAAGAAGAAGAAGATTCATGTGATGAACTGGAATAATTCAATCTCCTTGTGAGGCTGTTACATACTCTGGACTGCCATTGTAATAAGCACCGAATCTGTGTTTTAAATACATTCATATTTTTTCAGTTATTACTTTGCAGTGGTTGCAAATCATAACATTTTTGTCTAGTTGAGATTTTCTTGGCTTACTGGTGAACTATTTAAGTCATAGTAATTGTTGATTTGTCATTTACATTTGCAAACTTGTACTGATAGACTGTCCTGTTCATGTACATATTACATGCTGGTACAAATAATACTTCCTATTCATACATAGACCTTTTTTTTTATCTACAGCTATGTCAGGGAAATTATTCTCTGATCAGAGATTCTGACACTGAAGTGTCCTTCCTTCCATCTATAAAAGAAAGGTCAATGGGATCTTTATCCCAATTCCACCTACAAAATATAACCTGTGACAGGATCGACCTCTCTTTCAGGCCCAATGAGAAATGTGTACATGGCATGCTAACTTACATTACTTTTAAAACATTTAGATATGTTCATGGAGGTTAAACCTACATTTGATCTTTTGCTATAAGAGCTAAATTAAATCTTCATATTCAGAAAAACAATGTAGGGAAAATGGCAGATGATTCTTTTGTCTGTCAGGTTTTTTTTAGTGAATTTCTAAAGATAGAAATTCTCTAGAAAACTGGAGACTGGCTGCTGGCTCAAATTGGCCATGTGTGTACCCCAAGAAATGGCCCGAAGATATTTTAGGAGGTTACGTTGGTGAAACTGAACTTGTTGAATGTTTCAAACCAGAAATAAAGTTGGACTATCTGAATTCATTTCAACGATATGATAATTACTGCAGATTGCCTAGTCTATTTCTGACACTTCTAAGTACATAATTATTTTATTCTTTAGCTAATTATTTTCTTATTTCCAATCCCTTTCCTTTTCAGGTCAGTAAATCTCTATTTCTTTATTTTTTCAGTCTCAGTCTTACTGGACTTATCATTATGTTGATGGAAGAACCCATCTACAATGGTCTTCAGACCATTTATCTGTACTGTGTATTTTATTGTCAATTATTCAAAATTAAGATATCAATGTTTATCTGATGAACTATTAAATTATGGCAAGCTGAATTTTAGAGAGAAATACAGTTAAAAGTAGTAGTTGCTGAAACTGTTTCCCTTTGCTAATTCCATCTATCTTCCACCTTTTCCCAAGGATCAGAGTGACAAAATTTCTCTTTGCCCAACTGCTATTTCCTGGTCCCTTTAATTCCTTTCTCCTTTTAATGTTCTGAAATGGTGTCCATGGTTACTTGAGGAAGTCTTCCTTGACCCTTTCCAAGAAGCTGTTGTATTTTTAGAAAATCTTGATTTTTTTTTTTTTAAAAAAAGGAATACTGGAAACTTCAAATGAAAGCACAAACTTCCAACATTTTTTTTTTAAAAATACAAGAATAATTTTGTGATCTATAAGCTTTTTGCAGAAGATAACATGGTGGCATGGGTGCAGCTCCATGCTTTATTCATTCAAAGAAAAATATAAGCAAGTTGGCACTGGCAGGGAGCAACTGGGAGGAAGTTAAAGGAAATAGATGGAATCACTTTGTTCTGTCAGGATTTGTATCTTGTTACCTGACATGTTTTCAGAATTCCAAAATTTCTACCATCTCCAACAAGCTGGAATCCTCTGCTCTAAAACGATTTCCCCCCTCCAAGCTCATTAGCATGTTTTATTATCAGTATTTATTATCTCTATCTATCAGTAGATGTTGCTACAGTGACCTTAATCTGATGCTTCCAGGTAGGTTGGAATACCGATCTCAAAATTACAAGATAAGACAGAGATTGGGAATTCTGGGATGGGTATTCCAACACTTTCAGTGGATGCTATAGTATAAACAAGAAAAAAAGCTTGCAAGATAGATACTGTGCATGTCCAAATAATTTAATAATAAATGCTGAAATTCCTTGGTGAAGTTTTAGAATGATAGCCCACATCAGTCCATATAATGCAGGTTGTATGTCAAGTATCATGTAACGTGACCTGCGTTGTTCCAGATGTACTGTAAATAGAAAAAGACGTTATCATATAATTGCCTTGTAGTGATTTCTCTGCCTTTCTTGACACTATCAATCAATAAAGAAATCCAACTTTTCAAAACAAATGGAACTCTTGCAAAACTTCACAAGTGTCAGTGTCTTTTAGCATTACTTTTTTTTCAGGAGGAGTGGCTTTGGCATGAGAAGTCACTCATTTGCCATTTGTCAACCATTGCTTTTCTGATTAGCATCATTTTATGACTGTCTTTCCCCCAGCCCTTTAACTGGTTTTTTATTTGAAGGTTTTCCCCCCAAAATTAGAATTACACTACATGAACAATGACAGGGGTAACACCTAGCTGACCTTCTATGGATTTGTAAGTTAAACAACACTGAGGTTCATTACTGCTTGGACTCCAGATTATACCAAAACTGCAGGCTAGACTAAGAAACAACAGTAATAAAAGACTTAGTGGAAGAAGGCAATGACAAACTGCTACAATCAAGAAAATGGCCTGGACTCATTTGTTAAATTGCTGGAGTCGAGTTTGAACTGAAGGAAACTCTATATTTACTTAAATCAATGAATGCTTATGGCATTAAAGAAGAAGGGCAGCACCTGGTGAGGCCTATTTGGAAGATTTTGATGTTTTTAACAATAGTGGTGTCACTATAGTCTGATCCTAGTAAAGCCAGGCTCAATATAAAGGGGAAAAAATGAGAAAAAAGTTATGAGTAACGATTAGTGCATATTTTACAAATCACATTTCTTTGCTGAAATCATTTAAATGTTAAAGTTTTGGCGAAAAAAATAATGCTCATGCTGACTGTACTCTATGTGTGAATATGGATTAAATGGGCATACTTTTATCATTTGCTATACTCTGTTTTGTACCTTTCTGACCTTAATAAAGCAATAGATTTTCACGCTCCCTTTGAAAATACAAGTCATTTTACGCTTTCTTATAAAATAACGTTTCCATCCTATTTTTAATGCGTAATCTGTGATTCATCATTTATAATTTTGCAAAAATATGACTTTTGTTTAAGAACCAAGAACAATTTAAAAAATAAAATTAATCTATTACTATGCCTTGCAATAGATTTGTGTTCATTTGTTTGAAGCTGAGATCTTGTTTTAGAGCAGGGGTGTCAAACTGCCCGCCTGCGGGCCAGATGCATCATGAGGAAACCACGCCCACCCCATTGCAGGCAATGGGGAAAAAGTTCCAATACGTTGCGCGACGTCACATGAAGTCACGAGTTTGACATGTCTGTTTTAGAGGGACAGTTGTACAATTGTGAAGAAAAGGGGTCCACGGTGGCATCAGAAATATGAACATATTGGTGGAATGTGTTGTGCAGTCTAGCTTTTGTACACCAGGGTGCAGTCTCAGTTGTAAAATACAGAACAGGCAAAAGAAGCCAGTGTCCTTTTGTTTTTGCTGAAAGTAGCAAATCTCATTAATTTGGGGAAGACAAATTTGAAGTCCCAGAGAAAAATAGGTGGTGGGATATTTTTGGATAGATTGTTTTAAGTTATAATGTTACAGGTGGGTAAGGAGAGGGACATGAAAAATTCTTGCATACTGGTGCTAATTGAAAAGGGCAGAGCTTATCCAACTAGATTTCTCATTTTTCATTATTTATCATCTATGTCTGTCTGTCTGTCTATATCATCTCTCTCTCTTATCTCTCTCTCTCTCTCTCTGCCTGCCTGCCTGCCTGCCTACCTACCTACCTACCTACCTACCTACCTACCTACCTACCTACCTATCCATCCATCCATCCATCCATCCATCCATCCATCCATCTATCCACCTATCTATCATCTATCCATCCATCTTACACACAGACACACACACACACAGACACACACACACACACACACACATACAATCAACCACTTTCAGTCTGACCAGTCTTGGCTGGAAGATGTGAACCCTAACACGGAGCATGCCAGATTAGGGAAAGCTGCTAAATGCATTGGCTAACATTTTCTTAGCTGTCATTGATACAGGGTGTAAATAAAAACAGAGCTCTGTGCCATTTCAGTCATTTTCTTGCTCACCTAGATTTCTGATTATTAGAGCTTTGGTTGTTATTCTATTTATACTACACAGAAGGGCAGCACGGTGGGTCAGTGGTTAAGATGGTGGGCTTGTCAGCTGGAAAGCTGGCAGCCCAGATTGGAGACCTGAGTGCCATGTCACGGGGTGAACTCCCGTCATTGCCCCAGCTCTTGCCAACCTAGCAGCTCGAAAGCATGCAAATGTGAGTAGATAAATAGGTACCACTTTGGTGGGGAGGTAACAGCACTCTGTGAAGTCATGCTGGCCACATGACTGCAAAAATGACTTTGGACAGGGCTGGCTCAATGGCCTTGAAACAAAGATGAGCACTGTCCCCTATAGTCAGCAACAATAGTGGAATAAAATCTGCAGGGACTCCTTTACCTTTTACTTTACTCTAGAGAAACTCATTTGTGATTCATCCAAAAATTATATGTTAATGACACAGTTTCCTTTGGCCTTTTCCATTCTACTTCTGTAGGATTAGTGAAGGCCTCAGATGTATGCATTGCTTAAATATAAAGCATACACTCCTTAAGGGTTTCATCAAATTGTTCTGAAATCCATCCGAAATGGGGACAGACTTCACTTTGGCCCAGAGCAACATTTCTGCCTTTCACAGTTGTGAGATCTGATGCTATATTAAGACCTGGGACAATCTCTCTTGCTAGCATCTTTTTCATCTCTGCTCTTGTCCCCCTGCTAAAGAAAAGGCAGTGGTCACAGGTGCAAGTTTAGCATCAGTCTGGGTTATAATTGCAAAAGAAAAGAAAATAAACTTACATCCAAGTCTTCGCCCTTAGCCCTAAAAAAACAAAATCGAGAGTTCTCTGCTAAAGGCTTATAGAGTTATTACTTTTGGGAGGTCTTTAAAAGTATTCAAACATGAGAGGCACAACAGGCCTTCAATTCACAGCAT